AGGGTGGGCTCCCCGCAGAGCCCCAGGCACAGCCCCATGTCCGCACAGCCCCTGCGATCCCCGACCCTGCGGCCGCACAGGATGAAGAAAGAGGAGTCGTTCCTGGGCAAGCTCGGCGGGACCCTGGCCAGGAAGAAGAAAGCCAAGGAGGGTGAGCTCGGCGGAGGGGAGGAAGGGAGGGACGCGCTTCCCTGTCCCGTCCCGTCTCTGAGCCCCGCTTTGTGAGGGGCGGCCGCCGCCCCACCGAGCCCCGGGCCTGGCCGGGGGGGTCCCGGCGATGGGGGGACCGGGATGCCCGGGCGATCCCGGCGCCTGGAAGTGCCCGGTGTGGAGCGGCCATTCATCGGGCTCGGCCGCTCCCAGCGCCGCTGCCCGGCCCCCCTTGTACATCCCGCTTGTGGAGGGAACCCCCGCATCCCCTGCGGGACAAACTCCCGGTGACCGAGGAGACCGCGGGCGTCGCTTTTCCCCCTGGTCTGAGAGCTGAAGGAACGATGAAGTCCCCACCTGTGTGTCGTGGCAGGTCCGCTTCTTCCATGGGCTTTGTCCTGTTTCTTTGCCCGGCGTTGGTTTTCATAACTAGATGCATCCAGCCCAGCCACCCTGCTCTCGAGAGCCGGGATTCCCCGTGGGAATTCCTCGCTTACGCCGAGCGTGTCCGTGTGTGCGTTGGCACGGAGATGCTCCCCCAGCCCCGTGGGCAGCACCCACGTCGGGGGGCTCGGCTCCCGCGGAGCACCCACCTCAGCTGTGGGGTGGGCACATCGAGGTGTCCCCAGAGCCACCTGCCCTCACGGGGGCTGGTGCAGAGATAGCACCGTGTGTGCCTCGGGCTACACGAATTTGTTGCTGCTGGTGTAGATAGGGGGTTGTCTCGCCGCCAGGCTGGATAACGATGGCCCGGCCCTGAATACACAAAGTGTACCTTTCTCCTCCAGGGAGGGTGTAATACTCTTCTCTTCAGCTTCCCCGACTGGCCACATACTGGCTTCTGCAGGGAAACCCTTCCTGTAGGAAGAGAATTCTATCCCCAGGCTCCTGCCATCTCCTAGCTGGAAATCTGGGTGTCCCTTGCCTCGTGGCTTAGTGCATTTTTGACTTTCTGGCTTGGTTTTGCCCTGGTGTTTGATGGGTGTAGTGTACGGATGTAATTCAAGGTTCAGCCTCCTTCCAGCTGGCTGCCGAGCACAGGTTTTGCCCTGTTGAGTCCGTGAACGGCCAGCAACGTTTATGAGGCAGCTTTTTAATATTTAATAATAAAATATTAGGCCTTGAGACCTGGAAGTTGCTTCCATTTCCTTCTGCTGGCTGTTTTGGTGTGGCTTACTGGTATTTCCTTCATTATCTGTTTTTAATGGGGTTTCTCTGACGTGGCTCTGCTGAGATGGGCAGCAGAAGCGGTTGTGCCTCGCTGAGATGATCCCATCTGCCTCTGAAGGAAGATAGTGGAAAAAAAACCTCATCTCCAGCTGGGATGCCGAGCACATGATCTGAAAGAGAGGATTTCGTTCAGAGGCGGCTTCTGAGCTGAAGCAGGTTGGCAGAGTCCCTTAAATGAGGCATTTCTGCATCACTAGGTGATGTTTTTGAGGTGATTCCTTTCAGTGGGGCCCAACTGCTCTTTTTGCTCGTTTTGGTTGCTTAGTGGGGAACCACCTCTGTGGTAGTGAAAAGCATGACAGTCACACTTGTGTCGGGGCGTGGGGAGGAAACTGAAACACGTGAGGCAGCTTTTAGTTTGAGTTTTCCTTTCCAGTATGAAAATGGCAAGGGAGGAGAGACTCTCTGCAAGCCCCAGGAGCCACTGGCTGGTTGGGTGTGACATCCTGTGGTGTTGCAGGTGGCTGAGCCCCTTCACTGTGAGGGGGAACGGCCCCCCCTTTGTGGGGCAGCTCTCAGACTGTCCAGGGAATGGCTGTGGAACTGGAGGGGGCAAAGGGATAAACAGTGATGAGCTGCTGGGGTCCAGAAGAGGACCATGGCTCGTGGTAGGACCTGGGCAAGCCACAGGAGCAAATTTCAGGGCTAGAAACTGAACGTTTTTATGTTATGTTTAAGCTCATCTGAGTGGCATTCCTTGAATGAGTGGACAGACCGTACCATATAGGAAGGAGCCCTGTGGTCGATGCATCCCGCGTGCTTGGGAACTTCCCTGCCCTTTGGAATTCCCTGCCTCCCTCCAGGTTTCTGCTGGTTTTCCCCGAGGGAACCAGCAGAGGTCAGAGCGATCTGCCCAGAGTAAATCCCGCCGTCTCCTCAGCGGCAAATGGGAATGCTGCCTGCTCCTTTGCCACTGCCCAAAACCATTCTCGCCTCCTCTGCCTCTGTACTTCATGTTTGTTTCCCCTGTTGCATTGCAGCTCTCCCCATCCCAGCTGTATTCACACAGAGACCTTTAACCTGGTCTGTGCAAGAGCTTAAAACCCACTTAACAGTAACCCTTTTCCTTTTTGTGCACAACTTCTGAGCCGTGCAGCTCTCAGGTCCTGAAATTTTCCTTTATCACTTCACGTAGCTTCCATTTCCTCAATCACAGGTAGGAGCCATGTAATAAATATCCATCATATGGGACTACCAACCCATGAGCAACTGAATTTGTTTGTTTGTTTGTTTTCTTTTGCTAACTACTCCATAACATGCTGCCACGTATTTTTAGAGAGGTTGTATTGGGAGAGGAGGGTTCATTAGGCTTATCAGTGTGAACTCCTACCCTTGCTTTATGATGGGAGGGTATAAGTAAAGTTCAGAAGTACTGGTGAGAGACACTGTGGCAGTATTTGAAATATGCCTTTCAGTGTGTAAACAGCTCTTGCTTTAGCAGTGTGACATGGCATCGAGCTTTGTGCCTGTCAGTAGCTGGGGTAGGGTCTGGTCAAACTCATCAGTGTTTTAAGTCAAATTCTATTTGTTCGGGGAAGACTTTGAATTTCTACCTCAAACCTCAGCTTTACACTATCACACCTTAATCCTGTGTTTCTGAATCTGTGTTTCTGAATTTTTATGAACAGACTTCTTAGGCAGCTCTGACTCAACAGAAAGAGCAGCCCCAGTTGCTCCTGGGGAGGCTGATTTTACCCTGGTTTCCTATGGAAGTGGGAGGGAGTGATCTCACTGTCTGTTTGGCTCCTCCCTTCCTCTTCCTTCCCAGGAATACTTTTAACCCCTAGTTTGGCTAAAAATGCCCCTGGGAGAAAAGTCGTGGTGGTCATTCATGGCTGTAGGTTGTGTCAAAATGGGTCACCAGTGAGTGTAGAAACACCTTAGAGTGGAGTCCTGCAGCAGGAAAACCGGGAGATGAGCTCAACCCTTCCATGCTACTGGAGAGCCCCCATGGGAGAGATTTGGCCAGAGAAAGGTCAGGGGAGAGAGCACTGCATGGAGATGTGTGTTCTTAACCTTGCAACCAGTCATGACACAACATCCTTGGAAAAGCAGGATGTGTCAATTCCAGTGCCCTGTGACCACTTGGTTTTCCCTTCTCCCCTTTTTGGCTGTGTGGAAATCTGCAAAAATCTAAGTTTGTTTCATGTTACTGTGACATGGCTCTGTCTTGATGTATCTGAGGTTTACAGTAGGTATTAGGAAGAAATTCTGCCCTGTGAGGGTGGGGAGGCCCTGGCACAGGTTGCCCAGAGAAGCTGTGGCTGCCCCATCCCTGGAAATGTCCAAGGCCAGGTTGGATGAGTCTCTGAGCAACCTGGGACAGTGGAAGGTGTCCCTGCCCATGGCAGGGGTGTTGGAACAAGATAATCTTTAAGTTCCCTTCCAACCCAAACCATTCTGTGACTCTGTGATCTTGGGCTTTCAAGATGTGCCACTTGTTCTCCAAAATCTGCTTTAAAAACCGCAGGAAAATAAAGGGGTGCTGGCAGGGCCAACAACAGGATACAGTTTGTAAGCTGGGTGATCCCTTAGCTTCTTTTCAGACCTTTTGAAAGGTAGTGCTGTGTTTCATCTTCATCTGCAGAAGGATATTGAAAAAATCTGCCCTTTCCTGTCGGTCAGAGCGATGCTGTTGTGCTGAAATAGAGGAGAGGGTTTGCAGCTTCACTGCCAGCCTATTTGAAAAGCTTTGTTTTTCTGTGTGAAAGATCTGGGCAGCAGGTGTTGGGCTAAATAAGCTTTGTATTATTGTATTTGTGTATATGTATATATATATATATATATATATATATATATATATATAGTCTCCATGGAGGAGTCAGTGAAATACAACAGACTCAGTTGCTTCGTGTTGTGTCCCAGTGACATGACTGAGGGTGGGCACAGGGGTGAGGAAACCGCTCCAGAAAAGAGCCATTTACTTGTGCCTGATGAAATTCATAGGAGAGAGGAACAAGGGAGAGAGAGAGATGACAGTGCTGCAGAAGGCAGGATTATTGGAACAGCAGCTGAATAATGGGAAGGTTTTGCCCATATCAGGGGAGGTTACAGAGCTGTTCTTGGGGCGTGTGGGTCAGTGTAACAGGGAGATGTTGTGGCTGCACAGAGGTCACTGTTGCAGTTGCCTGTGGGCACAGCCAGCTTGGTAAATGGCTTGGTAGGTGTGTGTTTCACGAGGTTTTCCTCCCAGAGGAAGGTGGCAGGTGCTGCCTCTATTTTGCAGGGGGGAAAGGGGGATGGTGAGGAAGTGATTTGTTTCAAGGTCATCTGGCAACTGTTGACAAAGCCAGGAAAGGAATCCCCATATCTCCTGAGTTGTCTCCGGTGCCTTAGGCGAAGGTGCTGCATAATCTTCCTGTTTCCCACATCTCTACACACGCTAAAA